CACTTGTGCACTGTGCTTCGTGAACACACTGCGCCTGCATTTGAGGGGCGTTGTAAATTGATCAGCCCAAATGACCAAGTGGTGGATTCACACATCTTCTCTCCAGAAGTATTTAAATAGACAATGATCCGTCTCAATATCCCTCGTTCATTCTTTCCACTCTGTCTCCCCCTTCACTCCCTCTTTTTCCTCTGCAATTCCACCAGGGGGTGTTATGCCCTTATGAACTATTATCACGAGGGGGAGACATACAACCCCCCCCATCACCCCCACCCCTCCTTCCCTGCACCCGTATACCCATCATCGGTCTGCTTTTCTCCCAAAGATGCTCGACAGTCGACATACCACCAGCGCCTTACCATTCTAACGTTGGTAGCTACATTTGCCTTGGATCGTCATGTGTGCCAGCCCTGCTTCTCCACGTCAAGTGCTATAACATTAACACTGATAGACTAACCCTGTTTAACCTTAGTGCCTCTGCTCTCCCTGACCTTGTCACCGAGCTGAAAACACCAGTGCCCTCCATGCCCCTGGAATGTCTGGGTTAAGTGGCAAAAGTAGGGTGAGGGTGCTGAGGCTAAGGATTCTGATTGGACTGCACTCTTAGCAGTAAGTTACTGTACACTCTTAGCAGTAAACATCAGAATTTGAGGTAGTGACAGGTGACCTGGCACCAAGGGACATCATAATATGGGTGGCATAGCAGCACTGAATGACCCTGTTGTGACCCTGTTGTGACCCTTTATGACACTGTCTGTTAGCTACTCTGAGCCAGTCTCTCCCTAAAGCTTAGCAATAGATAAGGATAGAGGAAAATCAAAAGACGGGTTGTTGTAGCGGAAGATTTCTATTTCCCGTTACTGTGACACTGAGTTGTTGGTTCATACTTGTTCAAGCTCTCGAAGCAGCCAAACTAGCAATTTTTCACTTTTCTAAAGCAGGCAAATCAAGATAACCATTTATCTAACAATCATCAACAACAAACAAACAACCACAATGATAGCAGCCCAGACACTACAGGGCACAAGCAGAGTGTCCTTGTGAACAGAAAGCCAGAGATACACGTATAATTGATGTGAGCATAGCTTTCAATCTCTATATATCACTCTGTCTCTATCTCTCTCCTTCTCCTGTGAGAGGTGCTTCACTTTGAGTTATGCTATTTTTCCAGCAACACCTAAGCGTGCCCACCCAAGCCCTATCCTAACCCTACGCTTTCATCAATGCTGCCTCTTCAGACTGCCAATCTCAACCAATGAGAGACCATGTGAGTGTTAAAGAAAGGTGCACACTGTAACAATGTATAGTCTGTTGTATAAATGCTAAATGTTATACTGTTTAAGTAATACAACAGTACAGGCCTAATAATGTATGACTATAGAAAGGCCTCTATCACAGGTGGGTATTGACTGTGTGAAACACATCCACATTGGCTGACCTCAACAAGACAGTGGACCAATAGCACTCTTAACATTACACTCTGTACTACACACTATACCAACCTTTCTTGAATGAGATATCAGAGAGAATGGAATGATCACTCTTGATTTGCCATTAATATATTTAGAGAAATGTGTGTGTGTGTGTGTGTGTGTGCGTGCGTGTGTGTGAAGGACCCTCCCCTAGCTCTGGGCATGCTAATGAAGAGAGAGCCACTTACGACGCTCAGCTCTCCGTCGAGCCCAGCCCATGTGCTCAACAGCCCAAATTCAGGCGAGAATTTCGATATTAATGATTTATGCTCTATTTGCATACAAACCTAATGCAAACCCACTTCAGATAATCACATTTTGCCAGTTCTGAATTGAATTTTCAGGACGGCTTGCCACCCCCACCCCAAATAACTGTGGAGAATAGGTTCCTTGCAATTCCCCATGGAAGACCCATCCATAAGGAGATCAGTGGATGAAGGGAGGGGATAGTGGGCTTTATTTAGGAAGACTTTCTGCTACTTTATATGGGGTAGGTAGCTGTGACTATTATCCATGCACTATACATATTCATGCATTGAGAGTATCTACTGTTATACAATATGCATCTACCATGACTTCCATATCCAACAGCACTGCTATCATCTGTGCTTGATTACAGGAAACACATTGTGAAGTTTGGAGAATGTTTCCTGAAGGTTTTTGAATGACTGTTTACTGTATTTCTGTCACCTCTGTAAACTAAACTTGTGAGGTCTCTGAGCAGATGTTGCCAGGAGACTGAGCGTTGTGAGGGGTGGAGAGAGAAGGAGGCGGGGTCAGGCTTGGCACACTTCCATCCAGCTGTGCTTAGCTAGCCAAGAAACAGAGGGATGAGTGCACCTTAACCGAGAATAACCTGCCTGTGGAACACTCACAGGACATACAGAGGGAGGTGGGTTAGGACTGGTCCAGTGACTATCTGTTTCTCTACCCCTGGTAGAGGGGTTTCCTTGGGCGGTTCTCAGGGCCTTATGGACCGGTTGTAACCTAGTGAGGTTAGCAGCCTGTGCATCCTCTCCTTGTACAGCGTTGCTGTGGCTGGTAAAGGTGAGTGTGTGTAACACTAGAAACTCAGCCCTGCTGCCCTGAGAGGAGAGGAGAGGAGGGCGCATGGTGAATATTTAGCAGGGGTGTAACAGAGGTGTGTGTTACGGGGTCAAGAGGGGCTCCAGCTACATGGGCTCTGACACGCTGACATGCTGCTTGGCCACTCAGCCTCCAGCCTCCCTGTCGGGGCTACGGAACCTGAACACTGCCACACACACACACACACACAACCCGATTATGAGCACTGATGTCATACACCGCGTGTACAAAACATAATGAATACCTGCTCTTTCCATGACATAGACTGACCATGTGAATCCAGGTGAAAGCTATGATCCCTTATTGAGGTCACTTGTGAAATCCACTTCAAATCAGTGTAGATGAAGGGGAGGAGATTTTTAAGCCTTGAGACAATTGAGACATGGATTGTGTATGGGTGCCATTCAGAGGGTGAATGGGCAAGACAAAATATTTAAGTGCCTTTGAACGGGGTATGGTAGTAGGGGCCAGGCGCACCGGTTTGTGTTAAAAACTGCAATACTGCTGGGTTTTTCACACTCAACAGTTTCCCATGTGTATCAAGAATGGCACACCAACCAAAGGACATCCAGCCAACTTGACACAACTGTGGGTCAACATGGGCCAGCATCCCTGTGGAACGCTTCGACACCTTGTAGAGTCCATGCCCTGACAAATTGAGGCTGTTCTGAGGGCAAAAGGGGGGGTGCAACTCAATACTAGGAAGGTGTCCTTAATGTTTTGTACACTTAGTGTATATTCATCTCTTATGTTTCATGGGTTATCTCTTGGTGTCATCCCAAAACTTTAACAGGGTCAGGAGATTGTAAAAGAGTATCAATGCTGCTGAGCTGTATACATAGTCAACAGCTAGGTCCTATTATAATGAGACTGACTCGAGCAAGGGGACAATAACATACCACATCAGAAAGCCTTTTGTTCCATTGACAAAGCCTTATCTAAAAAGGTCAGGCATTCTCGGTTCTGTTGAAAAGCGACTACGTCACAAGGGTAGCTTTCAAATACCTTTTGATTAAAGGAGGACATTCCAACACAAAAGCATTTACAAAGTAAAAATGCCACTCATTTTCATCACTGTGAATGACCCTCTAAGATGATAAAATATGTAACAGGTTCAATGATGGCAGATATAGTTTCCATGACAGTAAAGGTCGACTAATCATGAACAATTGTGTCATTTCTTTATGATGGGTCACATATTCACAATACACTGGTGTACCTGACTGCTAAATTAGTATGACGACAACATTAATCCTATAAGTAGAAAAGCAATTGACTGAAGAGTGCTGTTATTCATTTCATTTGAATATGGCCTTTGAATCAATTATTTTCTAAAAAGTAAGACAAAAACATATCATAAAACTATTTATCATGTAAATATATTGAGTATTTTGCGGCATGTCGAATCTTAATGAAAATAGGCCAATTTATTTCTGTAAATACTAAATCACTTTGCAAAGGAATTGTTTATCTAACAAAATAAAATATCTGTCTTGCCAGTCGATATTTGTAGAATATGAGCAATGGTATCAACCTAAAAATAAATGAATTCAGGTTGCTCGATAACACGCCTCGGATAACATATGTGTGTGACATTTAATGAATATTACAGTATATTCAAGAAATGCAATATTTAATATTTATGTTGTCATTTAAAATTAGAGGCGAGTGAGAGACATATTCAATGATGGAATCCTCCAGATATGGCTAGTTGAGTTCTGGACTAAAGTGCGTAGTTCACTTATCCTACTACATACTACTCTACACTGGCTGGCCCAGTGCTGTGCTCTGAGCTCAACTTTAAGATTCCTTTTCCCTGAGATTTTTATCACTGAAACTGCAAAAGGGCACTCCGAAAAACAGCAGTCTCAAGGAGCGCCTGTAACCTTAACAGAATCATGAAAGCTGACAGTTCATTTTTCACAGGTCCATAGATCTTTGGGTCTTATAAAGTAATGGGCTTTTGGGAGAGGGCTTTATGAGAGCTAAGATAGTTAACCGCCGTGTGCTTGAGATGACATGGGAGCTGAGGTCCTGCTCTCTGGGAGACAGGATAATTCTCTTCCCCAGGATGGAGGGAGAGAAGACACTACTGTCTCCCTAATATAAACGTGTAATAAAGATTAATCTGTTGCTACTCGCCACTCCAATAGCTTCTAAACTTGCTTGAAATAAGGTTGAAATCACTTTAGAGCAAATCATATTTTTTGGGTGTGAGTTTCTGAGTTTCATTGTGAATCTCAGGACAAAGTTATGTGCGTGTGATGCTGTGTGTGTATGAAACGTGGTGTTGGCAAATGTACATATTGTAGTGTTAGAGAGTGTAGGTAAATACAATACTGAATGTGTTCCTGGGTGAGTGAGTGTGTGTGTGTGTGTGCATTGTTTGTGTGATTGTGGATGTAGGGGCAAAAAGATCAAAGGCGGTGCCATGCGGCAGGGTTAGGCTAACTTACTGGGTGCGTCTGGTCTCTTGATGCCGCTGCCGCTGTTTGAGCTGCTTCCAAGTCCGTTGAACGCTGCGAGATTCTCCGAGCTGTAGGCCCTCAGGACAGACAGCATGTTCATCTGCTGCTCGAGATGGGCATGTTCCGGCTTCAGCAGCCCCGAGGGACCACCAGGAGATGAAAGGAGACCCAAGCCCTGCTGCCACTGCTTCTCCAGGGGCGGCTGAGGCTGGGACTGGGGAGGGAAAGGGGCCCCAGGTCCTATGGAGGCCCCTGGTCGTTGGGCCTCTCTAGCCGGGGACACGGCCTGCATCTGCTTCGGCATCTGATAGGTGGCACTGTCTTCATCTTCCCCCTCCATCCTGTCCTCTTCCTCCTCCTCTTCCTCCACGTCATCAGAGTGGGGATGCTGTCTCTCTGGTTGGGCGGAGGAGGACTCGGTGCTGTGGCAGCGCTCGCCGGCCCTGCCATCCTCATCCTCAGACTGTCCCTGCTCCTCCAGCTCCCCGCAGGAGGCCTTGTCTGAGAGCTCATCCCCAGCTGTTTCTCTGGCCTGGCTCTGCTGCTCCAGGGCTGGGTCAGGGCATGTTGCTCCAAACCCCTGGAGGCCCGGGGTCCTTGGAGAGCCATCGTACATGCCTCCATACTGCTTGTAGAAGTCGCTCTGGAATGCTCCCATGCTGGCGTGGGGCTCCATGTGGTTGGACCAGGCTGACTGGCTCTTCTCCCCCTCTCTGTCATTGTCTCTGTCATGGAGGTGGGCTGGGCCCATGCTGGCCTTGAGGAAGTGGGAGGGCTCTCCTTGGTGCTCCTTGTCCTCCTTGCGTTGCTTGGCCTTGCACAGGTGGTTGGCCTGCAGGTGGAGGGCCATCAGCTCCACAGAGGCAGTGGTGAAGGAGCAGAAGAGGCAGCCATGCCACGCCACGTTGTCCTGGAAGGTGACAGAGGAGCCAGGCAGAGAGCCTGTTTCAGGCTTGACATTGACAGACAGATCCAGGGGCTCGTATTGGGACCCAGGTTTGCCCGTTGATGGCTTGGCCTCAGCCTTCTCCTCACCAGTATCAGCCCTCTTGGCTTTGGGCTCACCACTCTCAAAGTAATGCTGGGACTGCAGGTGGCTCTCTCTCATCTCCTTCTCCTTCTTCAAGGAGCTGAGGACGAAGCTGTCCATGAAGGCCTGCAGGGAGCCCTGGAAGTTGACACCGTTTCCCACCATGCTCTGGTACGCCCGGCCCAGGTCTCTGAAGCTGGCTGGGACGTCTGCGGCGGAGGGGCCCTCTGGGCTTTTCATGCTTTCAGAGGGAGTGTCAGATCCCAGGCCATGGCGTTCTCGCTCTCTGTCCCTCTCACGCTCCCTGGGGGACAACATACCGGGAGGGTGCCCACTGGTGGGGGTGCAACGGTCCCCCTCTGAAGTCCAGGCTGGAGGGCATGCCCTTGAAAACGCCGCGGAGGACATCAGGACGGGCGAAGACGCCACCCTTGCCGTGCTCCTCCTTGTGCTCAGAGGGAGGGGCGTGTCCGGAGGAGGGGCCGCTGCCATTCTGCCGCTCACGGTGATGGCGCTCCAGGTGGTACTTCAGTGAGGCAGACTGGGTGCCTGCGTAGTCGCAGTGAGGGCACCTGTAGGGTTTCTCTCCTGTAAGAAAGATAGATAGAGAGGAAAAAGAGAGACAGGAAATGAATAAGAGAGGAAACAACAGTGAAAACCAACACAATGATCTCAGTGTTAACCAACATTCAACAGAATTCTGCATTCAGCAAACAGTTCCTCAGCTCCATTCGGGGATTGGCATCTGAATACGGGTCGATCCAGCTCGATCCAGCTCCGCCAAGTGAGCCATCACTCATGTCGACACAATAAAAACCATTTCACCATATGGTGCTTTCAGTCCACTACAAGAGATAATATTTTCAACTGACAACACAACTGTCTCGATGTTATCTCTGTTTGCATGGGGGGGCTGGGGGTTGTTAGTGGGTCTCTCTCTCTTGGCCTTGTTCGCTGACAGGCCTCTGCCTTGGCGATGAGACAGTGATTTCTCGGACGTTCTCTATTTGCAGTTTATCATAAATCACCATGCACAGAGAAGAAGCTCTCCATAACTTCCCGTGTTGAATGGCTCTATGGCCATTTTGACCAAATAGTGGAAGATGCAGTCCCTTCATATGAAACTAAAACAGACTTTAACTGACACAAATGAGCAAGAATGTACATATGGAAAACATTTGTTTGTATATCATGGTAGTAGCATAGTGGTAGTAGCATCATTTGACTTACAGTGCAGGTACAGCATCTCTACATAAATATACTGTGTACATAAATATTCATAAATATTCTTGAATGGTAAAATGCAATCATGATTTTTGCCAGAAAAGTGGATCGCCTTTGCTTTGGAGAGATAAGTTACTACCAGTATCTTAACATTAAATGCATCCTGTTAGCAATTACAATATATTTTGAACCAAAGCCAGATTTGGAATCAAAAAACAATAAGCATAAATGCTAAGCTTGGTTTTTAGACATAGTAATGTTCCTGGCATGCATTTCTCTTGGATAAGTTACAGCTAAGTGTGTGAAGAGCAAGGGGGGTTTGGAAAAAGTAACGAATAAAAGGATGTTTGTCAAGTATTGTGTGTATATATAGCTATACCATGTTTAGATTATACACATGGAAACCATTTTTTACCAGGAAAAAATGTTGCATTGTTACGCAAGACTGAATTGAATGATTTAAGTCTTGCTCTGTAGTAAATCATGGATATAATTAGCAAATGGCATACTGCTCAAGTAATTTATCATTATTTGGAAGGCACCATTCCAGAAAAAGACTGTAGGATCTGCAGACCTACTGCACAGTTCTCAAATAAAGGGCCACAAATACAAACTCAATACAATATTGATACCAGAGAGAGAGAAAGAAAATTAGAGAGGGAAAGGGAGCTAGAGAGAGAGAGAGAGTACCATGTTCTTTTCTTTTACACAAGAGTGAGTGTGAAGCGTATATTTAAAATAAACCATGCGAGATGAGCTTTTAACCCAATAAGTGCTTATCCTCTAAGCAGGATAACAGGGGCTTGGGCTGATTTAATAAGGAAACGTCCCTGATGCAAATGATCATTCTCAATTCCTTTAACTGGACAAAATGATATTCTATGCCCAAAATTAGAGTGAAATTAGAGTGATCTGTTTTTTTAGTTAAATATTTTTGTAAGGCTGTTAACGATGAAAATGGGCATCTACACCACCATTCCAAATATTAAAAAACATAAGAGGACATATGCTTAATCTTGGGCTTCAAACATCTGAATATAACCAGTGATGTAATGGTATTGTAAACAAATACAATAGGTGGGTAAACTCTGATCACCGGTCGTGGTGAATAAAGTAACACTTCCTATACTTTCAATGCATTTTTCCACAAAAGGTGATTAAACTGTTAGGCTAAAAAAGGTGGGTAAACTGTGTTTACTTGCATTTAATATAATAATAATAATAATAATAATAATAATAATAATAATAATAATATAATATTTGCCATTAGCAGACACTTTTACCCTCCACTACACCACTGAATATAACTGAAAATATGATACCTCTCTAAACAAACCTTGAAGAGTAATCAATGTATACATGGCTGGGAAATGTATACCGTAAATGTGGTGTGTGTGTGTGTTTGTGTGTGTGTGTGTGTGTGTGTCTGGAAGTGTGTGTTCTTTGTGGACCATTTGGACTCGCTAAGACATCTGCTCAATCATACGTCAGGGGCATGTGTGACATCTGGGGAATATACTGTATCCTGCCTTGCAACATTACACACAATTTACTGCTAAAGGTCATTATGTACCCGTTAATCCACATTTAATTGATATCAGCGCAAACAGCACAACCTCTGTGAAACACAGCAGATCTCCATGGCACAAAAGAAAGGAATTACTATTCGTCATTGTTTAGAAATATAAGTTTCCCCTAATTTTTTCTTAAATAGGTAATAAAGAAAATATATTAACACAATCAAGGAATACAATTAAAATACAAATTCATAAAATAAGGGGAAACTATTTAATGATCACCTGCCACAGTACATTAAAACTATTATAACGTTTAAATGTATCAATGTATTCCTCCTCCCAGTACTGGGACATAGTGTTTTTTGCTTTACTTCTGTAAGCAGTTCTTCTACTCCAACCGATTTTCATCTGGATTTGGATGATTTGTCACAGCTCCATAGTAACCACTCTGAATAAACACCCAGAGCCACTACAGAGGGGCAATTAAAACAGTTAATAGATATGACATACTTTAAGATACATTTCCATATGGCTTTACATAATGTTGAAAGGCAGTTTGCACTGGAAGAAGTGCTGTTATTCAAATCTTATCTGGGTTGAACTGGGAAACCCTTCGGAAAATAACCTATCCCATCATCTAACCTTTAAGTCAATGTTAAATAGCATTTAATAAGCACGGCTGTTGGTTAGCAACAAACATCAACATACAGTATGTGTTGCTAAACAGTAGTGTTTTTACATGCAAAGAGGTACTAGTATGGAAAAGGGTAGGGAATGTTAGTATTAAACATGTTCATGAATGAGAAAGAGAAATAACAGGGGAGAGAGAGGGAGGGAGGCAGAGAGATGGAGAGGGTGAGAGAGAAATGGAGAGAGGGAGAGAAATGGAGAGCAAGATCATGGGTCCCCATTGATTCATTCTGATTGCAAGGTTAGGTTAAGGTTATGTGACATGGGCAAGGCCTGGCTCTTTCTCTGTCCCCGTTTAAAGGTGAGTGGAAACTCTATTGGTTATTTCCCCTAAAGTTATGCGTAGCCATTGTCAAGAGCAAGGACCTTTTTATTTTTTACACACAGCTGCTTACTGCTAAATACTGCCTTGTCCAGAAGGGGACAATCTGTGTCTCTAATTGCTGTCACTGAAGCCTAGATTCATTATGTGACTTTCCCATTAAAATGTGAGCATTAATTTGTATAATGAAATATCACCCACTGCAGTGTTCATTAACTGTGGCCCCACACTGTATTCTGCACAATGTTAGCTACCTAGAAACTGTGGTTAATTTCACTAATGGATATTTTCCCACTCACTGTTCAAGAGGAAATTAATACTGTAACATTAGCTCTTTAACTTTTAGAGAAATTTAAATTCACTTCATTCCTTTCAACAAAATGTTAGCGAGTCATTAATCTAACATTGTGTTGCACAATGCGAGCACCTCTCAGTAAGCAATGCCATTGTGTTGTTCAGACTGAATTAGGATGAAGGGCGCATTATGTCATCTCTGAGTTCCACTGTTCTGCCATCAAGGAGGAATCTTCATTGGATGTAAAAGTCATCGCCTTGATGTAATCATCCTCATTTCAACTTGAAGTCAATCTGATAATGTATGAGTGATTTAAAGGGCAACATCTTGTAGATATATCAGACGGTTTCTGTGCATGAAGTGACCATGTTGAGTTGTGCTTACGCAGGGCCTGGCCTGCTGCACTGAGTGAGTTAACGGAGGGCCTGGGATGAGGCTTCTGTTTCCTCTCTGCTGAAATATGGCCCTTCTGGGGACCCTTACTGTACCACTCAAAGCAGGCATAACTCAGCCCCCCTCTGTTAGGTAACAGATTTCCATGCTCCCCGCCCGTCACCCGTCCCATCCCTGGCCCCACCTCTCCTGACGGTGAGGTATTCAGAGATCTGCAGAATCAGGGTTGAGGCTGCTCTGCTCTCGGTGACCTGGATGTGCTATTTTACACAGAGATCCTAATTATGGTAGTGCACAAGTGCTCCTGCGCTACGCCGAGCTACGAGCTACACTGGCTCCTTAATTCCCCTCCAGCCCAGAGGTATGTGGTCCTTATTAAAGTGGGGGGGGGAGGGGGGGCACAGTTTGGGTGGTCTCCCTTCTCTCTTTTTAAGTGCATGGCGAAAAAAAAGAGAGGAAAAAAAGCAAGCATTGATTTCCTCAGCTGCAAGAGATTTCCATTTTAAGTTCTGAAAGCTTGAGCCATGCCTTTTCTGGCACTTAAGGATTCAATTTTTTGGGACTGTAAAATGGTGTCTTCAGATACAGATGTCAGGACATCAGACGCTCCATCCGAGAGCATTCACAGTTACATGTAGAACAAGAACAGAGGCTGATAAGAAATGAAGTCTTAAAAACCATGAGATCTCCATGAGTATGCTGTATGTACTTTGTCATTCCCAGGCCTAATCTGAGAAAGCAATGCAGACTGAAGAGGTATTGTAGCATAGTGTACTAAACTGTCACTAGGGCGTACACTCAAACTCTCCCCTCAGCCAAGTAATTAGAGCAAAGCTCTGAAGAAATGCTAAACACTCGTTTCTAGGGTCATGCTCTTTTGTGTCTTATATGGGCTGACTCTTAACATTATGCCATGGATTTTCACAGGTGGTCCAGTACAGTACTCTAAGCTACATTCCAAGCAGTATTCCAACGCTACAAGGTATGCAAGAACACACTCAATGCAGAAACATAGTGTAGAAACATGCTGTAGCATACATAGCACATAGCATGTTAGATTAGTCTGTTTGTACAATTAGCTGAGCCCATGTCCTTGATCTAAGGTGACCTTAGAATGGCCTACATGTGACATTAGCCTGGATATTTACTGGGGCATTTCTACCTTGCAGTGTATTGTAGTGGGGTATAACAGCCTGCTCTGGCTCTGGCCAGTGGACACAGTGTCCACATCATTACTCTCAATGGGACCACCTCTACCTCCCAGCAGCTAACACGGAAGGTTATCCAGGTAGAGATATATTTTTTACACTTGTTGTCAGATATGGGTAAGAACAGTAGCTAAAGGGAACCACTGAATGCCATTGTCACATTAATTACAGCATATTTCCAGGAAACAGCTGGGTGCTTTGAATAACTGTCCTCACCAATGGTATTGAACATGGCCAAATGGTGTTGACTCAAGTTGTAGGCAGAGCGGTGGCAGAAGGGAAAAAGGTGATGCAGTAATAGCTAAGGGGAACTCACTCCACTGACCTGTGTGTATCCTCAGGTGGACCTTGAGGTGGTGGGAGGTGCGGAAGGTCTTCCCACAGTATGGGCAGTCCTTGATGGCCGAGCCCAGGCTCCTGTCCCTGTGCTGGGATGGGGCCTGCTGAACACTCCCTGCTGTCTTCCCCAGGTCATCCCCGACATCTGGAGCAAGAGAGACACACACAGACACACAAGGGAGGAGTGGTGAGTGTCACTTCAAACCGTTACCATGTCAGAAAACACACTTTTCTTTTCTTTGTCCTCCTTTTCCATCCAAATCTGCTAACACCACACAAAGTCAAACACATAAATGGGTTCACGTTTTGCCGCTATTTTTCCCACCCATTTCAAGCTGACAGAACGCTGACAGTTCATAAGCTTTCAGGCTTCTTTAGAAACACCGGGCCGACCCCCTCCACACTCTCCCACTCCCGTCGGAATGTTTTATCCCCGCTATCATCATATTCTGGTAGCATATGGCGGATTGTGTTGAAATGAACAATACAAAAAAAGAAACAGCTATGTCAGCAGTGGGCTAACGTGTCTTCGCAGCGCCCTGATTTTGACAGGTAACGTCGCTTCTGTCAGAGATATGAGAGGGTGATAAGAGTGACCCCACCCTGCTTGAACTGCCACTAATACTGCATAGACGTGTGGAGACCAACAACTGCTCTCCACATAATCACCTGGATCTCAGGAGGAACTGAAATAGATTTGAAAAGAGTTGACGGCAGCACAATCATAAGGTGAGGATGTTATCTCATACGTATATGGGCCATGACCTCATTACATGACCAGCTAACTGTATAGATGATTTCTCAAGAAGTCCTTGTAAGCTGTGATATGTTATGAAAGCTACACTCTAGTCAAGCAGAATGACCGATGAGGTGGAGTGAACTCCACAGCCCAATACCAACACCAACATAATAACTTTATTAACCACATACCCCGTTAAATCATGGGTAAGCAGGAAGAAGTACCAGTTCACAGTAAGATAAATTATTCTGTTTATGGCTCCACCCCATCACCCCCCAGAAGCAGTCTCTGGCCCACATCTGCTGCTTATGTTGCAAGTCAGTTAGTGCATGACCCACACCAAAGCTCACATAAGGTTAAAAATGTATTTTTTTTCCTAGTCCGGCACATGATATGGTATGCGTGTGGGAAGGGAGAGCATCTGAATGGAGCAACCCACTTAGGTAACCATGCTACACAATCAAAAGCATTTCTTCCAGTAGCCTAATCTTTTCTTTTCTTCCCCACCCCATTCCATTCTCTTTAAGAGTCAAATATGTTTTAAAGAAAAGAAAGACTGAAGTCAGCAAGTCCTCCTACTGCTGGCAAATCACATGACTCTACACCCACACTGCCAATGTACAGTGTACTATTGTATTTATGTGGATGTGACCCCAAGACAACAGGCATACAGTATTGAACAGTTGACATATCCTTAACTGTAATAACCATAGCCCCGTTCATACTATTCTAATCTGCATGTGACCTTTCCAAACCCACCCTCTCCAAACCAATGCCCAGACAAGGCTTTCTAATCAATACTCCCAACATGTCTGCAGTCCATATACAGATATAGGATCTTAATTTAATCACCCTGTTGCAGGATAACTTTCCTGCAACGCAGGAACTTTTAAACTTGTAGTGTATTGAGGTTAAAAAGGCTTCTAAAGTTTGTAATTTCCACAAAAACATTTCGTACTTAATTTTCCCTTATGAAATATGTATCAACTGCTACAAAAATTTGCATTAATTATAATCCACATAATAGTTCACATTTCCTGTTGCTGCAGGATTATTTTCCTGCTGTAGGAAACTGGCTCAAATTAAGGTCCCAGATACAACAATAGAGTTTGCTGGCCCAGAGTACTTAGCACCTCTGAGCATAATTTGCGCACCGATTTTACATGTAGAATCGCGTGAAAAATGCCAGCAGTCAGAAGTCTACAGCTGCTGGTCCCTAAAGCACAGGGCGCTGAACGATCGGCAGACGAACACTAGATCCACATTCGGCGTGATGTGTGCGAGCCTTGAGATCCTACATCTGTACACATACTGTACTGTAACTAAATTCTCCACAAACACATTTACACCACTTGACATATCCCCTCTTGGCAAGGTTTCCTCCTCTCATGTAGCAAACACAGCTCCACCTGTCCACCCCAGATGGAGTTGAGTTAAACCCCTAAAAACACAGCTTATGGCCAGCCTCATCCTCTGGCCCTCTGTGTGGCAGGGTTAATAGTGATCCTGTACCAGGGAGAGGATGCTCTCCCAGCATTTAACAGACCTTCAATAATGAATGTTCCAATCGCTATATGCTCTCACGCAAACAAATACACAAGCACGCCTGCACACACACACTCACACACCAAAACTTCAATGTATCTGTTCATGTAGTGTATGGATGAGAGAGAAAGAGAGAGAGAGAGAGAGAGAGAGAGAGAGAGAGAGAGAGAGAGAGAGAGAGAGAGAGAGAGAGAGAGAGAGAGAGAGAGAGAGAGAGAGAGAGAGAGAGAGAGAGAAAGGAAGAAAGAGAGAGAGTCCCAGGCGTTAGGCGTCCAGCGTGGTTGTCCTTAATCAGCTGACTGATCCCAAGCTTTTAATAGGGCTGTTCCAATTACTGTAAAAGTCATCCTGCGCCGTATAACCACAAATATTGACAGTTTATTGCACAACACATTTATGACATTTGAAGGTCACCTCATATATTACACGTCATCTTTCAGAGGAGCGAGTCTGGGACAGAGAGATTCTCGATAACTCGCCACCTATAACTATTCTCTATGTATTGATTTTCCATTGCTTTGCTCCTTTTTATGCAAAGGGAAAATCTGTAAGAGACACAACATTAAAATGATTGTCACAGGCAAGCCATTGGCTTCATATATTACCCTGTTAAATCCTGCTACCATAACTCTCAATGCTATCTCTCAGAGACGACTATAGTGCACACACTGTTAGTGTACTGTTAGTCCATAGCTGGTGTTATACATGTTTAATGCTTTAAGTTGGCTTAGTTAAAGTTAATATTACCCATAGGTGAGCGAAAAGCCTTCCATGGATACGGTCAGATGCTTTCACTGTTGTCATTTCTTAGTGATCAACGTCATTTCTACAATTAATATTTTGATTTAACAAGCAAGTTTTGCTAATAAATAAAATGACACAATTTAATTAAACATCCCCAATACTACTGTACTTATCTTACTACACACTGCAAACTGCAATTGTATAGCTTGTTATTTTCATTAGCTAATCTAATCTGCATTATCAATACACTGTACTCTTATCCGCCATGCACTACTTTTCCAGTTACATACAAAGTGACACATCCAGGCCCTGTTGCAGTGGAATAATATCACACACATGCATATATAATTCAGGCTTTCTGATTTGAGACCAGCTCTGATTTTATTGGGCTCATCCAAATGTAATGGAACATAACAGAACAAAGGGCTGAGATCAGATTGGAGCAGAGTTGTACAGGCCATCTGGGAGGAGGATGAGTATCAGTCATTCTGGCTGCTGTCTGCTGCACTACAGCTCTGACATCATGAGCTCTGCTAGTGACACAATAAAAAACTCCTCAACCACCAGGGGGAAATGCCACAGGAGCCCACCGACACATACAACACTCTGTACCTGTTTGTGTGTGTGTGTGCGTGAGCATGTGTGTGTGCGCGCGTATGCGTGTCTGTGTGTCTGTCCTTTGAGACAGCCTCTCCAGACGGACCACACCCTGTTCCCATTAATGTAGAAAACAACAACAACAACAAAGAAATAACTGAGGGGAAAAGGCCTCTTCCTTAATGGTGCTCTTTCAATCACACTTCCAGGCTAAATTGTTCTGTGGTTTTGATTACAGTGACATCACTTTCACTAAAAAGAAGAAGAAAAAAAGAAGGGTAATAAAAACACAAGATGTCTCCCTCTCTCTCCATTATTCTAATGCATCACGTGTTCTGTCAAAGCCAGTGTCCTCTCCCTCTATGTAACTACTGTCACGGCGAGAAAGAAATGGTAAGGAAACGTGTGGATTTCAAAAAAGGAGAGAGCAAGTAAAATGTGATGACATCATTTTAAAGGCTTTAGGCTTTTAAAAATGCGCCCGGGGGGAGTTGATTTCCTTACGCCGGAGCAACACAACACCATCCGGCTGATGCTCTGTTCTCTTTTTTTATTTGGACGGGTGCCATCTTTGTGAACGGCTGGTTCATGCAAGTTAATCAATTTGAGGTTTAGTTACACTGCTGAGGCTAGCATTCTAGCCACTGCTAGAAAGTAATCTGAACTCACAGAATTTATTAACCAAACACCAATTATCATTAAACACCACTGCATTATCCCTGCTTTTACTACCTGACAAGGACTACTTAATGAAATTTTAGATTGAAGTTATTTAGTATGTGATTCATGGGCACAAAACTCCTAATGCAGACCACTATGCAGATGCTAGTGAAAGCACTTTTTTGGGGGGGAATGGGAGTACACCAGGGTATCCTCTAAGGTATCACAGCAACCAGCTTCAGACCAGGAAAAACACTCAAGCATCTGAAAGACCACATGCACACCAGATGAACTCACTAGCACTTGGGCAGAGGGTGCTATCAGTGACCCTGTGTAACAAAATGAAATAAAATACATTTAATAAGAAATTCAGGAAGTGTTTACCCCATGATGTTTGTGAGATGAAACAGCCACAAAATGTGTTACATATAAGGCATGCGGGTAAACAGGGGCACCAGATGTTCTTTGATGTTAATAATGGCATTTATTATTAATATTAATTAGACTTCATTCAGCAATACATTTGGGCCATTTCCAAGTCAATTAAGCAAAATGGCATTCGGGAGATGTTGAAACGACATTTTAAGGCAGGTGTTCAGCAGTCCCCTAATAAAACATTTTCACAGCTACTGAAAAACAACTATTTTGGGCTGATTGTGTCTTTGTCTGCAGCCGAGTACTTGTTTTCTTGCTCCAAGCAGCGCCATGATCGAAACCTTCATTTATATATTAACAGTTCATAAAGGGAAATCATTCTGTTTTATTTCCATTGTCGATATAACATAAATAGCAGTGATTTGATGAGTATATTAATGATGAGGCTGTGCCTTGGCAGTGGGTTGCTTATGTGCATACATACACTGTATATGAGCCAGCAAAGTCCACACAGATTGACGAGAGAGATTAAACCAGATATGAAATCATGATTATGTTAATAACAATTTGTGAAAACACTGCGGATTAAATCTACTGTTCACAAAATTATTTTAACAGCTTAATTCTAGGGTACAAGTACACAAGGCCAAATAGACACTTCAACACCAAATGCTGCTCTCAGTCTGGTCTCTCCTCACAGACCAGCAGTGTACTAGCACCAGTACCCACGTCAACAGTAAATACCAGTCTGAAAAAATCTAATTACAGAGCACATGGTAGTGCCCCAGTGGGGGATGTGTTGTCTGTCTAATCCTGGACCCTATGTGTAAGGGGGAAAAAATGCCATTTTAAAGCTCCATCCTGTGTAATCTGGACGTTGAAAGGGAAGCCGCACCTCCAGGTTGGTCCGATTTGGCAGGAGTCTTTTTTTAAGCTCCACGAGGCTGAGCCATACAATGGTACATTAACAATCTGTGCATTCATTTATCAGGGAGCTGGGTTTTGGACTGTGTTTATGGCGCACTGTACTTTTCATCGCTGATAATTAATGAACATGCCTCCCCTTGCAACAAACATGCACCTGTGCCGCAGAGATGCTAATCACAAACATTTATATTTATTAGCACTGGTCTCACTAAAATTGGTCTTATAAAAAAAGAGGAGGAAAGATGGTCCCTTTTCTGCATGCTGAAGGCAGATGAGACATTTCTAAATTGTATTTTAGCAAACATTTATTCCCTTATTTGTTTCAAATTTTTGATTGATGAAGAGGTAGGGGAAATTATGGTTAATCTATTCTCTGTTTAATTTCCATATTTTATGGATTATTCCTCTGAATGAAGCTGGAGTCAGAACTCTCTGATGCCAAAGACCATACCTGTACAGCCTTATTGAACTACAACACATAAAATAATGTGGAGCTCCATAAGGAAACATTAATCTCATTAATAAACTATAGGACCGGCCACACACGAGATTCAATAGAATACATTATCAGACATATACTGTACACTACACCTCTTTATATCAGGGGCAAAAAGGACGGCTAAGCTACTGTTTAGGATGCATTCGACAGTGGACGTCCCCTTTGCTCTCCCCTCCCTCCTTCTCTAGCCCTCTCCCCCTCTCCCTGCCTCCTCCTCCACCAGTGACAGAAGGTGCATCTCTCCCTCTGTAAAGGCTATGCCTCTGCCTAGCTAGGGGAACAGGAATGGTGCCATAAGTTTCTCCCTGGCACGGGCCCATCTTTGTTTTTTCTTCTCAAGTCTGTTTCAGGCTTCAAAGAGCATTGAAAAAAGACCCAGACACTGCTAAAGAAGCATTGAGGTCTCACTAACGTTATCATTCTGCAGGATGATCACAATTCCAGGGAGAGATCGCAGGACAGAGGTTTGGAGTGGGACGGAGACGTCCACCCGGACGCCGCTGTCTGGCCGTCCGCATGAGGGGAGCAAGGGAGGACGAGGACATTTCACTGGGCTGAAGGGACTTACTGAGGTGGGCGTCTTTTAGGACACAGAGGCCAGGAGGAGGTTTGGGGGAAGGGTATTAATCAGGGTAAATATTCATCATGCACACTGTTTGGCAGGAAGTGAGTAGTTATCATTAGTGAAGGCTGAGTAGGTCCAGTCTTCACATGGATACTGTGCTTTCTATGGATCCAGACTGGAGGAGGATGAACAGGAGGAGGAGAGGAGGGTGGGGGCAGGGCAATAAGGTGAGAGAGGAAGAGAGGCCAGGAGATAGAGAGTATATCCAATACAGATGCACTGATAGCTCATATGTCTCTGTATAAAGGAAACATAGCATGTACTACGTGAGCAATTGCTATCCTACAATCATGGTAAACAAAACCCCTTGGTAATACAACACGTGTTCCAGGAAGACATATAACATCTTTACAGTTCACTGTAACAATGCTGCATGCATGCACTGTACCTTTAAAGATGAAAAAAAAATGATCGTCTGCTATCATTGATTTCCTATTCATTTTCCACCACACCAAATCAACAACAAGCACAATGGGCAATCATAAACTGGAGTTACAAATCCACATTCAAGGCTCTCTACCACCAGGTACAGTATATATATATATATATATATATATATATATATATATATATATATATATATACAGACACTACATGACCAAAAGTATACATCTCATTCCAAAATCATGGGCATTAATATGGAGTTGGTCCCCCCTTTGCTGCTATAACAGCCTCCACTCTTCTGGGAAGGCTTTCCACTAGATGTTGGAACATTGCTGCGGGGACTTGCTTCCATTCAGCCACAAGAGCATTAGTGAGGTGGGCACTGATGTTGGGCAATTAGGCCTGGCTTGCAGTCAGCGTTCCAATTCATCCCAGAGGTGTTCGATGGGGTTGAGGTCAGGGCTCTGTGCAGACCACATTCTGTATGGACCTTGCTTTGTGCACGGGGGCATTGTAAAGCTGAAACAGGAATGGGCCTTCCCCAAACTGTTGGCACAAAGATGGAAGTACAGAATTGTCTAGAATGTCATTGTATGCTGTAGCATTAAGATTTCCCTTCACTGGAACTAAGGGGCTTAGCCCGAACCATCTAAAACAGCCCCAGACCAATATTCCTCCTCCACCAAACTTTACAGTTGGCACTATGCATTCGGGCAGGTAGCGTTTTCCTGGCAACCACCAAACCCAGATTTGTCCATCGGACTGCCAGATGGTGAAGCGTAATTCATCATGACAGAGAACGTGTTTCCACCACTGCAGAGTCCAATGGCGGCGAACTGAATACCACCATTATAAATAAAAAACAGAAATACCTTATTTACATAAGTGTTCAGACCCTTTGCTATGAGACTAGAAATTGAGCTCAAGTGCATCATGTTTACATTGTTTCTACAACTTGATTGGAGTCCACCTGTGGTAAATTCAATTGATTTGGAAAGGCACACACCTGTCTATATAAGGTCCCACAGTTGACAGTGCATGTCAGAGCAAAAGCTAAGCCATGAGGTCGAAGGAATTGTCCGTAGAGCTCCGAGACAGGATTGTGACGAGGCACAGATCTGGGGAAGGGTACCAAAACATTTCACAAGAACACAGTGTCCTCCATCATTCTGAAATGGAAGAAGTTTGGAACCACCAAGACCCTTCCTAGAGCTGGCAGCCCGGCCAAACCGAGCAATAGGGGGAGAAGGGCCTTGGTCAGGGGGGTGACCAAGAACCCGATGGTCTCTCTGACAGAGTTCTAGAGTTCCCCTGTGGAGATGGGAAAACCTTCCAGAAGGACAACCATCTCTGCAGCACTCCACCGATCAGGCCTTTATGGTAGAGTGGACAGACGGAAGCCACTACTCAGTAAAAGGCAGATGACAGCCCGCTTGGAGTTTGCCAAAAGGCACCTAAAGGACACTCAGACCATGAGAAATAAGATTCTCTGGTCTGATGAAACCAAGATTGAACTCTTTGACCTGAATGCCAAGTGTCAAATCTGGAGGAAACCTGGCACCATCCCTACGGTGAAGCATGATGGTGGCAGTTTCATGCTCAGGGGATATTTTTCAGGGACTGGGAGACTAGTCGGGATCGAGGGAAAGATTAATGGAGCAAAGTACAGAGAGATCCTTGATGAAAACCTGCTCCAGACCTCAGACTGGGGCGAAGGTTCACCTTCCAAAAGGACAACGACCCTAAGCACACAGCCAAGACAATGCAGGAGTGGCTTCGGGACAAGTCTCTGAATGTCATTGAGTGGCCCAGCCAGAGCTCGGACTTGAACCCGATCTAACATCTCTGGAGAGACCTGAAAATAGCTGTGCAGCAATGCTCCCCATCCAACCTGACAGAGCTTGAGAGGATCTGCAGAGAACAATGCGAGAAACAACCTAAATGCAGGTGTGCCAAGCTTGTAGCGTCATACCCAAGAAGACTCTAGGCTGTAATCGCTGCCAAATGTGCCTCAACAAAGTACTGAGTAAAGGGTCTGAATACTTATGTAAATGTGATATTTCCGGTTTTTTATATATTTACAAAAATTTAAAAAAAAAAACCTGTTTTAGCTTTGTCATTATAGGGTATTGTGTGTTGATTGATGAAAAAACAAAAACAATTTAATCAATTTTAGAATAAGGCTGTAACGTAACAGAATGTGGAAAAGGTCAAGGGGTCTGAATACTTTCCGAATGCACTGTATAGTGTATATATATACACTACCATTCAAAAGTTTGGGGTCACTTAGAAATGTCCTTGTTTTCCATGAAAACATACATGAAATTAGTTTGAATAGGAAATATAGCAAAATGAATAGGAAACGTAGTCATTGCCAAGGTTAGAAATAATGATTTTTAATTGAAATAATAATTGTGTCCGTCAAACTTTGCTTTCGTCAAAGAATCCTCCATTTGCAGCAATTACAGCCTTGCAGTCCTTTGGCATTCTAGTTGTCAATCTGTTAAGGTAATCTGAAGAGATTTCACCCCATGCTTCCTGAAGCACCTCCCACAATTTGGATTGGCTTGATGGGCACTTCTTACGTACCATACGGTCAAGCTGCTCCCACAACAGCTCAATAGGGTTGAGATCTGGTGACTGTGCTGGCCACTCCATTATAGACAGAATACCAGCTGACTGTTTCTTCCCTAAATAGTTCTTGCATAGTTTGGAGCTGTGCTTTGGGTCATTGTCCTGTTGTAGGAGGAAATTGGCTCCAATCAAGTGCCGTCCACAGGGTATGGCATGGCGTTGCAAAATGGAGTGATAGCCTTCCTTCTTCAAGATCCCTTTTACCCTGTACTAATCTCCCACTTTATCACCACAAAAGCACCCCCAGACCATCACATCGCCTCCACCGTGCTTGACAGATGGCATCAAGCACTCCTCCATCATCTTTTCATTTGGTCTGTGTCTCACAAATGTTCTTCTTTGTGATCCGAAGACCTCAAACTTCGATTTGTCTGTCCATAACACTTTTTTTCCAATCTTCCTCTGTCCAGTGTCTGTGTTATTTTGCCCATTTTCTCTTTATTGGCCAGTCTGAGATATGGCTTTTTCGTTGCAACTCCGCCTACAAGGTCAGCATCCCGGAGTCGTCTCTTCACTGTTGATGTTGAGACTGGTGTTTTGCGGGTACTATTTAATGAAGCTGCCAGTTGAGGACCAGTGAGGTGTCTGTTTCTCAAATTACGTATTTGTCCTCTTGCTCAGTTGTGCACCGGGGCCTCCCACTCCTCTTTCTATTCTGGTTAGAGCCAGTTTGGGCTGTTCTGTGAAGGGAGTAGTACACAGCGTTGTACGAGATCTTCAGTTTCTTGGCAATTTCTCGCATGGAATAGCCTTAATTTCTCAGAACAAGAATAGACTGACGAGTTTCAGAAGAAAGTTATTTGTTTCTTGCCATTTTGAGCCTGTAATCGAACCCACAATTGCTGATGCTCCAGATACTCAACTAGTCTCAAGAAGGCCAGTTGTATTGCTTCTTTAATCAGCACAACAGTTTTCAGCTGTGCTAACATAATTGCAAAAGGTTTTTCTAATGATCAATTAGCCTTTTAAATGATAAACTTGGATTAGCAAACACAACGTGCCATTGGAACACAGGACTGATGGTTGCTGATAATGGGCCTCTGTAAGCCTATGTAGATATTCCATTAACAATCAGCCGTTTCCAGCTACAACAGCCATTTACAACATTAACAATGTCTACACTGTATTTCTGATCAATTTGATGTTATTTTAATGGACAGAAAAATTGCTTTTCTTTCGAAAACAAGGACGTTTCTAAGTGACCCCAAACTTTTGAAAGGTAGTGTATATATATAGCATCAGAGTTATATAAGCATCACAACCATTAACCACTATTCTACATACATTTAAAATTAATCCAAAGTCTCATTAAGAGCCCATAATAAAATAGTCATTATCAAGGGGAGAATGTACACTGATCAATACCTCAATTACATAAATGTGCACTTAAAGACATATATTATCAAAGGCCACAGAGGAGAGGTGCATTTCAGTGTGCTGTCCTTCAATTCAATCTGTTCTGAATTGTACTGAAACTATCCCTCTCTCTCTCTTCTCTCTTCTCTCTCCTCTCTCTCTCCCTCTCCCTCTCTCTCCCTCCACAGTAAGGGTGGCTGTAAATCCGGAGACCAAGGACGTTTCCCGTTTTCCTCTTATATGAACTTGTCCAGTGTCTCGGAAAATGAAATAATAAGATTTATACTACTGCTCCAAACACCGGGGTGTCTCGTGAGTCAGCCTTACTATCAGAATACATTAGAGAAAGGCCTGATTTTGGCAAAGTGGTATTAAAACAGTGGCCCTCCCCACAGCTCTACCTCCTCTCCAACAGTCCCTCAGGGTTAGACTAGCTCAGCCAAAACACCACCACTAACAAGGATGATACTAATAATTGCCCTGTATTATGGAGGCAAGAACCAAATTGAAATGTGATTTCCTTCTGCTGTAAATAAAAAATGGAGATAAACGCCAATGAAATAAATGCATTAAAACCTGCCTCCCTCCTTCAGTTTGTGGTGGGCAGTATCTCTGTCTCAGAACCAAATCCCAGGCTGTCCTCTCCCCTTCTCTACTCGTCCCATAGCACCCAGTCCACCCAGTTTACACAGTCAATGCCACGCCTCACACATACCCCTATTAAAGAGCACGCTCTGTTCCACTGGCGGAATGTTAATTTGTTATGAAGGTCATTGACAGAGAGTAATAATCACCATTGGGGATCTAACAATTTGCCATTTCGGAACATTGCAACAGCGCTGATGACTCAACTATTAATAGACTCCCCCTGCCTTATACGACTAAAAACTATTCTGGTATTTTCACAAAAAAACCTTATGTCTTTATTCCTTTCGTCCTTTTTTCTTCTACAGAGAGATATCTGACATTTGGAGCAAACTGATGTGAACCTAAGCCCAAAAGTAACGGTACATCATGGATGGATAATGAAATCACATTGTTAAACTGAGACGATGTGGAAACTTTCTCCCCCGTCTTCCTCTTAGCGTTGTACCAACAAACTGACACTTAACCAGACACCAGGATTCTCTTTTACTGATCTAATGCACTGAACAGTTTTTACAAGCAAACAATAACAGTTTATTCTAAAACTAATTTACTCCCGCTTAGTGTTGCTAGGGCATTCAAACATATGTGTCTGTATTTGTCGCCAAACAAATAATTCAAGCTTAAGCTATTTTTATCAAGCTCAGAGCATTTGTTCTTTTTAAGTGATCAGCATTTATGGAATGGAGAATGGAAGTTTGAATCCTTTATCTACAGAGGCTCAACATTTCAAGACTAATTACAAATTAATCTGCATCTCTATATCTGCAATAAGAGTGCATAACTCCTCTCACTAAGAACTATCTGTTATATATTTATAAACCTCTCCATACAGGAAGCAGGCAGTCGGGCAGGGACAGACCAAAACCCAAAGAGGATGACATAATTGCTTGCTGTCTATATCCATACAGCGACATCAAGGCAGAGGATTGTGAATATTAATAATTGATCATTAGCTTGATATGTCTAAGCGTGCTCAAGTTTTGTTTTCAAAGTTGACTGGCTCCATTAGGCCGCTACTCAGGCCTGGAGTGCTGTTGACTAGAAGGTCGAGCATGTACATAGAGTAAGGGCTCTCTCTCTCTCTCCGAGAGAAAAAGAGTAGACATCGAAGGATTAAAGTAGAAAAAGAGAAAGAGAAAGAGATAAAGCGTGGAGATAATCCCAATCGACGATCGACTATCTCCAGGCTCTCTCCGGCTCGGATCTAGATCCCCTTTCATAGCTCTCTCTAATCTCTCTCTCCCTCTCTCTCTCTCTATCTATCTCTTATCTCTCTCGCTCCTCTTCTCTCTCTCTCTCTCTCTCTCTCTCTCTCTCTCTCTCTCGCTCTCTCTCGCTCTCTCGCTCGCTCGCTCTCTCGCTCTCTCTCTCTCTCTCTCTCTGGTGGGTTCTAAACAGGGAACGCTATCACTTAAAATGTGTTGTCAACGCAACTCATGGGACACAAATTAGACACCAAGTAATACTGAATTGTGACTATGTTTGCTCTGATGACCAATGAAAACGAGGCATAATGTACAGTAGGAACCTAATAGACGGATATGAAATACCATGTCCCATGACTGTCTGCATTGAAAGAGTGGTTAACACTTCTGAAGCAGAGCATATGGCTGGATATATGGAAACCATGGCGACTCCCTGGGCCTTCAACTTGAACCTGTTACCTCCGGCTGGCTGAACTACAGACACACAGACACAAGCTCTTATTGGTTGCTTGGCTGCTTCAGTATGTATACAGTCCTCAACATTCTCTCTCTCTCTCTTTCTAATGCTCTCTCACACACTATCTCTACTACTCTCTCACTCACTCTCTCTCTCTCTCTCTCGCTCTACTCATTCTGGGCCTGGATGGTGGTACACTCCCATGACGGCGAACCTCTGGGCACCTTGACTGCCGTTAACTGCTTGTGGCACGAGCCGAGGAAATGGGTCATTAAATCAAACGAGCCAGGGCCAACCTCCCAGCGTCCCAGATCTGTTTCCAATCAGATAGCTTCCTTTAAAGGGAGCCAGGATCTTACTCGGTATTAGCGTCATTAAAGCGGTCTCCACTGCTACCTCCACTAGTGCTCTAATCTGCATGTGAGCTGCACAGGGGAAAAGGGCAGACATCTTGTGATGAGGTAAATACTTCAAATGTTAGCCACAGGAGTGTCGTCTTACCCTTTAAACAGACACAAATTTGTGATACACCCTCCTCCCACTCTCTCACCTCCTCTCTTACTCTCACTCCCACCCCTTTCTCTCTCTCTCGATCTCTCTCTATTTCTCTCTCTCTTTCTCTCTCTCGCTCTCTCTCTCATATGCACATAGGCACACACATACAGTCTGGTCGAAATCCCCAAAACAATAGAGCAAAATAGATTTGATTGAATTATCCAGTGGTAACAAAATGTGAAGGAGAAACTCTATCCACACCTGTTGTCTTTCCCTCAACATTCTCTTTTTCTTTTCTTTTCTAGAAAAGATAAATGAACACAATTTCTTGCACCTGTCCTACCTTCCCATCCTCCCTACAACGATAAGGGATTTCATTAACGTGAGAATGCTTGGGCTGAAAGAAACATAATTGCTTCAGTGTTTTTGTTGCCACTGCTACCGCCCTAATTCCTTCCTTGCCTTACTATTGACTGTTAAGTGATCATTATATAAACAGAGAGGATGAGGCAAGGTTAAAATATTGACCAACTGCGGTCATGTTAACACCAAACAGGAAGTAGAGAGAGACGAAGAAGAGGAAATAAAATAGTATGGTAATAGAATGACAGTGGGTGTAAGTGATATGATCAATCGGGAAAGATCACAGTATTCTGTAATGATTTAAGCACTAGGACTGATCCTCACCGGTCCTTGATGGATAACTGTATGAAAAAGATACATACTTTTTTGACTTGCCATTTACACAGCATTGCACCTGAAAGCTGGGCGGAATAATAGACAGTTTAAAATGTCAGGGAACTAACTAAGAAAGGGAGATGGGTTGGCCTACGGAATGTTAATTAGAACATCCGCCTAATGGCCATGGCAGCCCTGAGAAGGAATGAGGAAGCGCCTTTCTGAACTAGAAAACACTTCCCAGATATACTTCAGTCCAATTAGTTAGGCCCCTTGCCTGGGTTTTTGGAGATGACCAGTCACAAACCAAATATATCTAGTTATGAAACCCATCATAAGAATATTCTCAGTCTGGAAACACATGTATAGGATTTACCTATCTATCCCAGAGCAGACCTGCATGTTGAGCCGGAGCCAGAAGCACATGATTGTGTTAATTAATCTGCCATTGTGAGCGGGGGGAACAGCTGCAGTGGCTCTCGTGGCTGCGTTGTCAAAGCAAAACAATGCAATGTTAAGCTTCCCCGCTGAATCTTCCATTACAAAGGAGCTCCAACACAGGGCTAAATTCATAAATCCACAGATCAATTTTTACCAGCACTAATGTCTGACCTTTAAAGGGAAAAGGTTTTTACATGCTTAATTTCGGCTTGAAATATGGTCAGATATGTGATACCTAGGATTTGGGCAAATTCCCCGAGCTTTGAAAACAAACAGATTGAGAGAAATGGAGAGGGATGGAGAGATGAAGAGGGGAAGGTAAAGAGGCCTGATCTCTAAAACAGAGACAAACAGAAGAGCACCAGGATTCACTAGCTGGGCACTAGTATTTTAAAACAATACATTTAACACGATTAGGAGGGATCCATCGATCGCCGTTATGTGGCTTTAATTTAGGGGGGAGGGGAGGGGAGTGCGGGGTGTTTGTAGATTGATTCCATGACAGCTACATTACTACTGTGGTGTATACAGTAGAGACATGTTTTTATATTACAATGTATGAGGAAACAGTCAAAACAGGGAACAGGCATTTTAATCTAAAGAAAGTGTTGTTTTTTTACGATTCAAGCTGGATTCATTTTGGAGTTCATTTGTAGATTTGGGTCATCTCCATTGGCAGTCTGTTAAAGTCAGATAAACAGACTGTGATAAATACAGGAGATAAATAGCTACATAGAGAATTAGACACTGGCAACAGTCTAATACAATCTATAGGGATATTTCCGTCAGGCAGCAGGCCACAGTACAAAAACACACTGATTGAGATAGCAGCTAGATGCATCACCAACACCATGCTGGAAAATATGGATTGTTCTTGTGAGCTCGTTTCCAGAGAGACAGAGATGCACCCCAAAAAGCATCAAAATGATTGGACCTGGCACCACACTGCAGTGGGAGCCCGTCTGTTGAGGCAAAGCCCCTCCAAGAGCCCATGCAGCATGCACTGTCTGCAGTTAACCTCTTATGGATCGAACCCTTTTTTCAATTTTCGCCTAAAATGACATACCCAAATCTAACTGCCTGTAGCTCAGGACCTGAAGCAAGGATAGGCATATTCTTGATACCATTTGAAAGGAAACTTCTTTGAAGTTATTGGAAATGTGAAATTAATGTAGGAGAATATAACACTTTAGATCTGGTAAAAGATAATACAAACCAAAAAGTATGCGTTTAAAAAAATTAATAATCATCATCTTTGAAATGCAATAGAAAGGCCACAATATAATATTGCAGTTTAGGCGCAATTTAGATTTTTGCCACTAGATGGCAGCACTGTGTGTGCAAAGCTTCAGATTGATCCAGCGAAGCGTTGCAATACTGGACTATTTTGTATAAAGTCTTCCCAAATGTGCCGAATTGGTCAATTGATACATTTTCAAGTACATAACTATAGAAAACATACAAACATGATATGGTAATACAAAATGTAAGTTTACACACTCCCAGGAATGTCATACATGATGGATCATTAGCTTATTCACTAACTTTCACACATCTAGATGGCCGGGCGGGGTGGGTGTGGAGCCAGAGACAGCAGGGGTTCAAACCGTAGAACCCAGTTCCTACATTTGAATATAAAAATTGATTTTATCAAACAAAACTTTGCTACATTTTATCTCTGGGACCCTTAGGATGACAAATCAGAGCAAGATTACTGAATGTAAGTACATTATTTACCTTCAGAGGTGAATGTATCAAACCATTTGCCGTGATAAGTTTTTTGTTGTTGTGCACTCTCCTCAAACAATAGCACGGTATTCTTTCACTGTAATAGCTACTGTAAATTGGACAGTGCAGTTAGATTAACAAGAATGTAAGCTTTCTGCCCATATAAGACATGTCTATGTCCTGGAAAGTCATGCTAATCACATTAGCGCACCTTAGCTCAACCGTCCCGTATACGGGACACCAATCCCGTAGAGGTTAAAGAGAAAACAATCAGTGGCTGCTAATTCATTTAGTAAAGGGTATATGGGGATACTGGGTAAGGAATATCTATGGTCTCTGAACCAAGTATCCATTTGTCTCAGTCTGACAGAAGACATGTGTACCATTGAAATCCCAATGAATAATATCACTACATGATTTTAAATAAATAGTGAGGGGAGACAGTACTCCTGCTTCCTCTGAAATAGCTAAGATTTGAGCTATTCCTTGTAGCTAAAGCAGCCAAAACCAGTCGGAATTCAAATGATTGGCTGTTACTTTTATAGATTCACTGTAATTTGTATAGATACACACTGTAGAAAGCTTACAGATGGAGAACGGTGACACGGTGCTAACACGCATCTCAGAAGTGTCGCTCGCTACAGCATCTCACCTGTCCAACACGTTGGATTTCAGAAAGCCATCAGATGTTAGGCTTACCGCTACAGTGAGCAGTAGAGAGCATCAGATAAGGAAGCAGGCTGGAGGCACAGGAGCGCATTACACTTGTCAACTCTGCAGGACAGATATGTAGCTTTGAAATGCTGAACAAGATAGATGACGTCTGGTCATTATCGGATGGCTGCATTGTTGGAAGGTGTTTCCAGTTGGTGTTTGGTAAAGCTTAACTCAACTAGAATTCTTATGGTAACTCAACTTCAATCCAGCAATAACTGTGTAATGATTCTCATGATGTAAAAATAATCTTTATGGAAATAGATTTCATTGAATGGATGCCATGTTCATACTGTGAGCAGCTTGTGTCTCATGAACATAATCCAGAAATGTCCTCCAAACTTTTCTCTCCAAACTTTCAGATGGTCCTTTTTTTCTCTCCAAGAGATGAAAGAAACAGGACAAAAGGCTGATCCTGTGTTGTTGAGGACCAGCAGAAAGGTATGAAATGTGAGGCCGGGGCTCAAAGACCCAGAGAGTGTGGGACCAAAAGGGATTTCACATCCTCCTCTGAATCCTCATCTCTGTGTCTAATAGCAAATACCTGATTCTGGCCACAGGAGCGCTGCACCGGCACGATTACACCTCACCTGCAACCCACGCCAGGAGAGGTGGCATTTGGCCGATCCGTCGCCACGAGGGGCTCGCGCGGCTCAGCCATGACTTAGCCTCGTGTCTTAAGGGGGGGGTGGAGGAACACAGGGGAGGACTGAGCTTCCCCAAAAGCCCTGGCTAAACCTGTGTCCTGTCTCCAGAAGGTACAGCTCACTTCAGACAGGGTCGAGGCCTGATGTTCAGAGCAGAACACCATCCACTGAGTGTTGGAGGAAACTTTGAGACAGACAGCCTGGATCCTGTGGCTCTGGTGAGCTAGTGCATCAGGTCAAATAATGCGTTGGACTAGGAGTTTGACTAAGGATCAGATCATTCCTTTAGTATAAACCAGGCCTGGAATGATGAGGGCCTTTCAGCATAGGCAGTATCACTGGCTTGGCATTTACTGGGACTCTATGTTAGCATAACAGGAGATATAGGCAGAATAACAGTGTGGCAACTATGGGAGCTAATACAATGTATATTCACCTTGGTCTACCACATTATAAAGGTGTGACTTAAATAACCCCACAGTTTCAATATATACAGAGAGAAAATACGCAATGTTTTGAGCTTATGTTGTTTCATCTTCAGTGATTTAAACACCTTTAGTATTTTGTAAACAAACATTGCTAACAGCTCTTTTCACGTGAAAGTTAATCTCAAGTAACATATGCTCTTAAGAAAAAACAATAGGTGTTAACTATCTCAATTGCAATCGTGCTAGATCTTAGAAAAACAAACACTTTGCTTTGTTACCAAGACAACTGAGACAATATGACTCCTGCGGCATTGTCAGA